CATCATCATCATCATCATCATCATCATCATCATCATCATCATCATCATCATCATCATCATCATCATCATCATCATCATCATCATCATCATTATTATTATTATTATTATTATTATTAGAACAATTTCTTACAACAATAACAGAAGAAACTGAGCTGTTAAACTTAAAAATATACGTGAATACTGTATTTAGTATCTCATTATGAGTGAGTTAATGAATGTGGTTTTTTTTTACTGTTTAGTTTAAGATATTGAAAAGTGTATTATTTTTTATGACTTTGAATGTGGCTCTGTATTATTTTTTTTACTTTGTACATTTTCTTTAAGGATACTCTGTTTTAATGGTGTGTGCTACAGTTCAAAAAGTGTACATCCAATAAATTTGATTTGATCTTAAATGTAGGCTTATTTAATCGTATTATGTAATTATTATCATTATTATTATTATTATTATTATTATTATTATTATTATTATTATTATTATTAATGTTGTTATTATGAATTACTGTATGTATTAGATGACAGTTAAAACAATTTACTTAGCACCTTAATTTTTGACACATTTAATCCTATTAATGTTATTATTATTATTATTATTATTATTATTATTATTATTAATGTTCTTATGAATTATAGTATTAGATGACAGCTAAACAATTTACTTAGCATTCTAATTGTTGGCTTACTTAATCCTACTAACGTACCAATAGTAATAATAATTGTTGTTGTTGTTGTTGTTATCATCATCATCATCATCATCATCATCATCATTATCATCATCATCATCATCATTATCATCATCATCATCATTATCATGATGACCACCATCATAATCTATACGTATAGAAGTTTACACTGTGAAGAAATGCTGAATAATTTCTCCCGAAGACAAATCTATTCGAAACGTCGAGATAACACACCAGTTCTTTCAGAACGATTTACGTGGCGTACCTCGGAACTTATTTTTATTGAATTATTTTATTTTAATGAATATCGTTAAATTTAGTTTAGTTCCGGTGACACTACATCTTTGTATCGGTGGCATTCATATACATAGTACACAGAAATATAAATGGTAACAAGATCTTAAGGAAAATTAAACAAATTTATGCTCACAAATAAAGTCAAATAATATCATCAAATAAGGAAATTAAAAAAAAAGAGAAAGTTAAGACAGATGAAACTGTCGCGTGAGCTAATTGTGGCCGTAAGAGATTTTAGAGAAAAAAAAAGTACGTGGTCAGAGTAGGCCCACATTTCAGTTTTATAGTGTCTTTTTCAAAATACAAGATGATAATCACAGCCCACCCTCGTGGGACACACAAACTACCTTCTCGTTACGGTGTACACTACTTACTTAAGTCCACAATCTCACCCAGGGGAGAATTCGCTGTTGGGCCTAAAGCTAGTGAGCCAGATTCGACGAACAGATAAAAACGTAAAGCTACCATTGCTAAACGCTCGATTTGTAAAGCTATACTACGTAGCCGGTTCGATCAGAAACATCAGTTGCAAAGTTATAGCTCTAAGATTACCACTAAGCACTACTCTTCCTTAAAAACAAATCAATTAGACTAGAATTTTATAATGTTGGCCTCGAGTTGAATTGAGATTAATTCACGTTATAACCTAAAGAATGAGCAAGATCTTATTTCAACACGTCATTAACTCTTAGTACTGTAGGCCTACTGAAATTGACGCTCAATACACTATGTTCAAAGATATTAAACACAAGACTTGAATGGAGACCGACTTAAATGATCGCAGTCTTCTTGGGTGAAGTATGCCTATAGGAAGAATGTCAACTAACATGAATAAGGTAACTATGTAATTATTTATTAGTTCCATAACACTGCATATCAACATGACTATTACAATTAATTTAGCTGTTAATATCGTGGTCAAAGAAACTGCAGTGAACAAGTGATCAGTAGATAGTGTATAGAATAATCAATGAGCAACATAATAAAACATGAAGGCAATGCCATAATTACAGTAAATCATGGCACGGTATACTGCCTTTGATCCAGGCGAATATATGTTACCTGGCGGTGTGTAAATGGAATGTGCGGTTTCAGTTTGTCACGTATAACTCAAAACGGATAAAAAAAATCTTATGCTTTCTACGTATGATGGAATATGATATGACCGCGGCCATGTTTAACAATAACAACGGCCTTAAAAAAATATATTATAATATATAATACCTGAATTTTTTTGAATACAGTTCTCTCCAAATTTGTAGCGTCACTTATTTATAGGCCTATATTTTAATTTTTTGTTCCTTACACTGGGTTACCTAACAGAAGTCCCAGTACACAGAAAAAATTAATAACATAAACAAAAACAACACAAAATATTTAAAAAAAAACATTAAAAAAGAGGCTGAAAAAGAATTACATACCCCTGCATTTCAATTTTGAGTACCGTACAACTAAAAGTTCTTCTACAAGATTCAGTTTTAACAACTGAACTGAACGTATTTTGGAGAAAATGGACTCTGCCACTCAAGCACTTATGCACCTCTACCACAACTCCATTTAGGTCCGGTATAGTTTGGAGTTTGTAATAGGCCAAGTTGAGTTTATTTGGGAAAAGGAGAGGATATGGGGAATGGGGAATGGGGATGCAGACACTTTGCAATTGAAGGAAACAGCTTTTGCAACGGTAATTTTCTGTCTGTATACATTACAGATTGTGTCAGTATGAAGTTTCTGTCTGTAGCATTCAGGGGTTTGCCTGCCTGCCTGCCTGCACTACATTCTTGAAGGGAGGCTGCGTGTTTGTGTTAAAGACACCCTAGCGTGGGAGTCGTCTATCGTTTGTGGCCGACTTTTTTGTAAATTGTTTCTATATGAACTATTGTACTGTACTTTCATTTATTAAAAATTTAAAAAAAGTAAATGTTTCATTTGGGATTAAAGAGTAAATTTTGCACTTTTCAGTGATTTATTGAAATAATATATTGATATAATATAAGGCAAAAAAAAAAAGAAAATTGTGTTGGTCACATTATGTTTGGGAAAATAAAAAAAAAATGCGTTGGTCGGTAGGGATTTTTTTTAATTTTTTAACCAAAAATGTGTTTATGCTAAAAAAAAATACACAATAATATAACAATTTGGGATTCGCATCGCATCCATGCACCAACATAGGCTAAGCCTTGGCCTCCTAGCCTAGTCCAAGGCTGTTCCAGCCTTATTACCTCATGAAAAATAATATTGTTCCTTGTTGTAGTCAAAAAAAAAAAAAAGAAAAGAACTAAAATGAAGACCCTGAATTTAGTAAAATTTCGAGAAGAAACCCGTCTCGAAATGAAGCCCTCTCCTTTTTTTTTTTTGCGAAAATTTTATCTCAAAATTCAAAATAGTACCGGTATCGGCTTCTTTTCGAGATAGTAGAGTAGGCCTATTATTTATATGCCTACTCTTAATACATTTTTAAGAGATAAACGATATAAAACACACTTGGTTTATTCAGTAGGCTTAGGTGCACAAATGCCGATTAATACACTCCATGAGTAATGTTCCCTCTGATGTTGTGAGCGGATAAGTATACTACTGTAATTCTAAAAATAAATGATTTTCTTTCTTTTTTTTCTTTTTTTTGCAGGATTATATGGTTGAAAATGTTTTCAGTAGTCCTATAGCTTTATAGTAGTTGTAAAATTTACAGTATTCATTTTGAAAAGAAGCCCCCCCCCCTCTTCCAGCTTTGCCGATATTGAACATCCCCAAATGTTCCCACCTCAGCCCTTGTGTGGACTAATGGCTTCGAAGTAGGTAGGCCTAAATTAAGTACATCAAAGACGATGTTTTTAATATTTATTTTCTATAGTACATCACACATATTAATTAGATACCTATGGTTGCCGAAAATCGCTGGTAAAACATCATGATAAATTTGTTGGCGCTTCATTTGTAATATATAACGGTGATGTGATGACGATGAATTTTACTATATAGAAGTGTCATTTCCGGTCATCTAGAGCTATTTCCTAAAATTTTCGCACCTCAGGCCCACCATGGTTGGGCTCACAAAATGCCACCCCCCCCCCACCTTCACCTTTAAAACCAGGTAAGAAGTTTCATAGTAGTCTGAAAATTAGTGGTAACTGGAAATTGGAATGTTTCTAAATGGATTGTCAACTGGCTACAGAAATTTGAATGATTAACGTTATTATCCATAGACGCAAATCGCATTATCATTTGACACATTAACACTCACCATGTACATTCAATATTTCTTTAAACCTCACAAGATCATGAATGTTAACATCTATTTATTAGTTTCAAATTTGTAATATGCACCTTTATGTATCTCTATTTTGTTTGTACAGTATGCAGATTTTTAAAAATTATATTTACTTGTCATTGTATCTTTAATGTGTTTTTAATTTATTATTTTCTGTTAAAACATCAGGAAACCAAATACCATGTGCACGCTGACAAATAAATTTACCCTGTATCTTTTATTTATTGTACGAACTGATAACTGAATAGAGTATTTCAAAGGAGATGATATATTACATGTAACTGGATAGACAGCGATTCATATTGCAGATGAGCAGAACACACTGTACATGGAATATTGTGTAAAGTGTGTAGAAACATTGAGAATAAAAAATGGTGCAAAAAGTTATAATTTTATTAATAATAATATTTTAGACTTATATACCGCTTAACGCCAACAAGGCCACTAAGGGCTTCACATTGTTACCCCTGGTCATTGGATTAAAGGCCTATGGAACACAAACTCAAGCTCCCTGTTGAAGCAGCTACATCAGCACATTTTGGCATTTAATCCTTCCAGGTACCCATTTATACACCTGGACACAAGGACACAAGTGGAATGTACAGCGAGGGGACAGAAACCCTGATCTCGAGGTTGGGAAACCAAACCGTTCCCATTGCGCCATGATTAAAAACTAATCCGAATGAATGCTATAGTATTATCAATAGTTGGTGGTACTTGTAACAATGATAGAAACTATGATAGAAACATATAAACAAAGTCTCAATTTATTGAAAATTTCACAAGTCGACAAAATAAAATAGAATGCATAGTGAAATCTTAAAATATGGACGACATAAACTATTAAGTAAAGCATATGAAAAACTAGGGAAAAAGGTTATTGCATAATGATACATATAATATTTTTCTTAACATAGAGACGAGGGTAATAAACAAATGCTACTACTGTTAATGATTAAGAATGAGCAACTCTGAATCAGTTGCAGCGATACAGGCTATTTTTTTTGTATGAAGAGAACCTGTTTAAAAATCGTTTTCTTTAGGGGAAAGTTGGATGTGTCTGTGTGAGATTCCAAACAACTACAAGTAAATTAGTTAAACCAACCATGAGAATACAGTAAACAGAAAAAAAAAAACCCAAAACAAAATTATGTATAATTACATATGGAATCATTTTGAGTTGTCTAAAAAAACAAAAACATATGAGTAATGATGAATTCATATTAACACCATTTTAAACTGCTTTCTGGGTGATTGCAAAACCACCAATAGCACAAAAATCAGGTAAAACATCCTCCTTATGTTTCGGAATTTTATCAGAAATATTCTGAAAGTAGTAAAACCCAACTGACACATATCGGCTGACACAGTCTGACATTCTTTTGCATAGCATCATGCCTGTGCCTGCACCATGTTCATCGTGAAACTGTGTCAGAAGCAGTCATAGGTCGTCAAGAAAATATTAATCATGTTTAATTGACCTATCGCGTGTGTTCTTTACTAAGAAGATCAAACATCGACGAGATGGACAAAAAGTTTTGGTGGCGGATTGGCGCAGCAGTTTTTCACTCTGGTTAATTAAATTTGTGGTCGGCAGTTTAAACCACACACTGACCATTCTTGGCCAGGCATGCTTAAATAGCCCAGCTTACATCATTGACAAGCTGTGAAGTGGCTCACACTATTTTTTTAGAGCTAAAAGCAAGCATTTTATGGCATATAAATATAATTACTTTAATAAGTAGCCCCTAACCTAGAAATGTCTTCCGGGCCTCGTTTGGAGTGAATTCAATTACAAAAAAAAAGTATCTATGTTCCAGGTTGTTAATCGTTTTTTTTTATTTTTCTCAGATTTTTTTGCATTGTTTTCATTGCAAACTGCAGCACATAACTTTACCATGAAAAAGGTCTGAGTTGAGGGATTCTGCTTTTAACTGGCAATAAATTGCATCTCAGTGCATCTACAGGCCCTGTCCAAGCTGGGATTAAGTTACAAACTGTTAGACGAGACCAAAAATGGATCTAATGTTACCTGTCGTAAAAATCATAAATATTTCTACAAATGTTACTGTTTTTAAACTTCTCTTCAGTAACAAATATGACAAATAGTCATAGCGACAACTGACCCTTCAACATAGCTTGGTGGAAAGGGTATTTTTTTAAGATAGACATTACCACAGCATTACATGCAAGGTACTTTTGCAGACAACGTATCATTTTCCCGCAATGTAAGGTACATCCATTTCACGTTCTATACCAACATACTTGAGAGCATCTGTTGGACCATATCTAGTTCGAGAGGAAAGACAAAAAGCCATTTAACGTTAACCAAACAATAACAAATAGGCTGCTGTTAGTGGTGAAGTATGAGCAGTCTGGCGCAGCGGTTGCGGTTCTGCACTGAGGTCAGAGGTTCAATCCCTCACAATGCATTTCGTTTGTGTTATTGGGCAAGGTACACTACCCACAGTTGACTCTTTCCAACAAGCGGGTACCTGGTAGGCTAAAGCACAAAATGTGTGGATTAATGTTGCAATATTATGGAATCCTCCTCAAGGAGCTGAGTATGTGTTCTATATGTGCTTGATCTAATGACCAGGGGTAATAATGTAAAGTGCTTAGAGGTCTTGTTGGCATGAAGTGCTATACAAGTCTAACAGATTATTATTATTAGGTGTTTTGCCACCAACTCAAAGATCAAAGGTTCAATTCCTATTACAGACATACCGTATCTATTTGAATAAACGCCCCGGGGCGTGTATTGTTGAGAAGGGTTTTGAGGAAGAATTTATTCAAGGGAGGTTTATATTTTTTGGATGTAAAATGGATACAAATACTCAAATAAACACTCCTTAATTTCACTGCAAATGTTGAACTACAACAAATAATTACCGTCAAAATGTGTTACTGCGTGATCATAAAGTCATATTCCCAAAAGTGATCCCAAAACTGGGTTATAAAAAAATGTAATTCTACTGGAGTAAAACATAATGTGTTGAGAATGATATTGCTTCTATTAGACTTGAATACAGTCATATAGTAGGACATTTATTTGAGGAGAAAATAGATGCCTCATACGTATATTTGAGGGAGGCGTTTATTCCAAATGAGGCTATATTCTGGGAATGTACTGTAACAAGATTATTGTGGTAATATTAATAGGTTTTAGATGGAATGCCCTGCAACCCCAATATAATGATGTAGTTGGTTCTGACCTTTCCATACAGAAGGGAATGCCGGGAGTATTCCTACAATATTGTGGTAATGTAGCTCTGTCTGAAACTGGCTCATCTACATATTGACAAAAGAAGCTTTCACAATTGCCATGACATCAGATGTTATACAATATAAAACCTGACAATGCCAGCAGACTGTAAACTGTTTGTGAAAGCTTGTTTTAGTTAAAGAATTTCCACACAGTACTGAACATTAAGTGATTTTGTTTTATAGAATACTAGTGTATGCTTATGATCTCTCTCTTAGTAATAATCATTAGTAGTGGTACAATAATGTGAACTAGTACATCTATCTGTCAATGATGGTCATTATTTTCAGGAGACAGCTAATAGAAGAGAAATTACCTGTAATCAAAGAACAATTCATCTCCTTGATGTATGGCTCTCTTGGCAAATATTCCAATTCTGTGATCACCATTCACCATCATTACTAAAGTAAAAATATTAATATCTTTTGGTTAAAGTATCGATTAAAAAAGAGTGTGTTTAAAAACTTTTCCAAAAAATCTACTTTTGCATCATGTATTTAAAGTATACTATCATTTAAGTATAACTTATGAAAAATAAGCTATTGTCTTATGCAATATTTTTCCAAAAAGAATTGAATTACAGAAATTTTTATTTCAAAAAGTAAACTGTGCTCATAAACAAAGAAATACATAAAAAAATAAATGCAATACATTAGACCAACATTGACTGATCTGTTTGGAAATGTATGTAAACATTACTCCTAAAAAAATTCCCTTGATTACTGAAACTATTCTTGTAAATAACATTCAAGAACAAAATATATATAAAAAATAACACCGCAATTTGTATAAAAGCAAGCAAATACAACATCAAGACTTTTTATGTTTGTAGATATGGTAAACCTACCTTTAGCAAAGCAGTTTGGATTGTTAGAATGATTCGCAAAGCGGATCTTGTTTCCTTTACGAGTGGCATCAACAACAAAATCTGCAATTAACAAATGCTGGTTAAATTATAGAACACGAGATAGCAAGTGGACAATGCCCAATTCATAGCATGTAGATGGGCAAATAGACCGAGAGAAGCCTGACATGCAAATTTTAGTTCAGTACCAAATACAATCAAGAAGGTGTACAATTTGTGTACAGTGGAGTTAAATATGACAAATATGATAGCATGTTGTTTTTACAAATACTAGGTACAGTGTATTACGACTGTAGAATAATTTTCTATTTAAACCATTATATCAAGAATTCTATCACACATAGGAATACTGTTTTGATATAGGTTTAAAATTTTTGTATTACTGTACATCAGTGAATGAATTAAATTTGAAAGAATTCTTACAACACTATGCTCTCAAATAAACACAGAATTGTTGTATTCTAATATTGATGATTCTTCTTCATAATGTTAAGCGAAAAATATTTTTACTTTTATAACAGTTAAATATTATTAATTCTAACAATATTTATTTTTTATACTAATGAAAAAAATTTGAATAAATCTGCAAAATGTTCCCAACATTTTGTTTTTATTTAGGTGTACAGTTCTAGTAATTAGAATTTTAATTACTTACCATTATTTAAGTTAAAAAGGAAGCTACACATATATTTGTCATAAACTTTGCCCCGTCGGTCAGCTTCATCTTGTGAGATTATCTAGCAAAATATATTTTCCATTTAAATATTTATCACCTTAAAATAAATATTCATATAAAATAATATAGCATTAATGTCTCAAATGGTTACTAAATACTCATACAATCATACTGTTAAATAAATATTTATATCACCATATTACTTAATATATATTCATATATATTATAATCAACATTCTTGGCATTATTTATAGCATTACAGTACCATCATTTCTTGTAAAAACATTCGCAGTAATTTCGATTTCGATATTATACTTCATTATATTAAATGGCCATGATAAGCTGCTCTGAATATCAGATATGCACCATGGTTAATTCCTGTACGATTATAATGTACGTTTTTTTTTCGCAATTAAGTACTCATACATTTCCACGTCAGGTAGGGCAAAATTAAACCTATACTTGATTTTCTTGACGCAAATCCAGTTATTGTCTATTCCATCACGAAAATAACAATTACTATTAATGTATGTTTTCTTCATTAAATGATTCTTTTACAAACAGAATGACCGATTTGGAAAATACAAGATACTGTTGACCAAACCAAATACCATTGCTAATAAAATCATACAGGAATTTAAATATTTAAATCAAAAAATAAAAGTAAAATAAATGTTGTACCTCTCCACAGTATTCTGAGATGAACTCATTTTTCTGTGCTGATTCTTTGATATAAATCCCCCATCCTGCCACATCTGATGGTGCTAATAACAGGTGCTACAATCCACAAAATCAAATAATGAAGTGCTCATTTTGAATAATCATTTGCTTGAGATTCAGACAAATTGACTGATAATTTTCTAGCTTAATGACAGCATTTTCAATTTAATTTTTATTAAATATAATACAGAAAAGAAAAAAAAAAACCTGATTAGGTTATAAAACGGTGCTTACAGTATTTATACTCCTCTTGAATGTTTTAGTTGTAAATGTTCATTCTATGTGCTTGATTATTTTAATAATAATAATAATAATAATAATAATAATAATAATAATAATAATAATAATAATAATAATAATAATAATAATAATAATAATAATGGGCTTGATTATTAACTTTTGAACAACTTTCCATTAAGTTAAACCAGTATGATGTACTTTTTTGGTATAAACAGTAACATAATAATAAAAATAGTAATAATAAGTAACAGCCTTACATGGTGCATCATAATCATTATTACCCCAGAATACAAACTCAAGCTCACTGGGGAGTATTCTATAATGTTGCAGTCAGCTAATCAGTGCATTTGGAATTCTAACCCTACCAGGTACCCAATTATACTTCTGGGTGGAGAGAAGCAATGCAGATAAAGTGCCTTGTTCAAGGACACAAGCAAAATGCACAGTGAGGGATTGAACCCCAACCTCAAGCTTGGGAAAACAAGCCGGTCCTCTGTTCCAAGCCACTTTTTTATTTGTTATTGTCTATGACCTTTGGTATAGAGAACTACAGTTGGAATTATGAGATAGGTTATTAAAGTAATCTTGGAGGAATAAAATATTTCCATGCCTCTAATGTCCTGCAATGTTTTCCATAATTTAAGATTTACCTTTTTCCATCCTCTTTGAAGTCCAACATTTTTACATGAGATATTTTCTCTGTCTGCTTTTTCTGGAAATGAACCTTAAATTAAACAAATTTTTAAAAGAATGACTCCTGTAGTAAAAAACAACAATCTACATAATGAAAAATACCATCCTATGAAATAATGATCATATTTATTTGGTTTATATTTACAATTTCTACATGAGGAATTGATATTAAAAAATTCACCACCTACACGATTCCAGATGATTCATACCACAAGGTTTAAATCTACTGCTACAAACATTGAAATTGATCCCACACATTCCATTGAACTTTCAATTGGATTTGTATCCATTGAATACTTGCCAATCTGCCAACCATTCAGTGTTTATTTACTCATTAATCAATTTATAACAAAACACCAAGAAAAGAAAAGCTTAGATTTATTTGTGGTAAGTGATCTCCACTCATTTAACCCTACACAACTCAGGATTATGCCCCTTAAGTCGAGCTAATCCCCTCTAGAATTTGCTATTATCGAATGGTTGTATCAACAAAACACAACATCTATTTGTTATGGTCTGCTTTTTTAAAACACTGCAATGTAAGACAATAGACAGCTTAACAGTGAGACCTGAATTAAGACTTCAATGAATCTACCTCAACTATTATAATAGAAGAAATAGTTGCATCAACAATGCGTGACAAATGGCAATGTCATCTGGATATAGGGTTCAGTAATACAAAGTCTACCAATGATTTGTAATGTTTTTAGTAAAATGGGTAGCATTTAAACAAATATTTTGATTAACACTGCAAGGAGGATTGATGAGTATGGCTGCTCTAGCATGCACTTGCCGCAAGTTTTTTTTTCTCATTCTGGACAGTGCCACCAACAAGAAAGTTAATTTGGAAACAGATTAAGGACTTATAAAAATAAAACCAATATCAACCAATCAAAATGCTCAATCTTTTGTAGCCATGAATGTGAACAGGAATTCAATTGCATACAGTCGGCAAATTAGGCCTAGCTAAAAAAATACCCTCTCTAATAAAACGGGCCTAAATATAGATCAGATCCAAGGCCTACTTAGTGGTTTGAAATCATACTCATGAATAATTTCTCACTGTTATCCCAGGGCCTAATTAAAAAAAAATCAGAAATAATGTATGGGATGCCAAATAAATTTGGTATGGTGCGCACTGAGTGCAATAACAGGGTTATATTCAACAGAATTCATCGAGGATAACAGTTTAATCTCACAACCTTTTCATAATTACTACACATAATTCATGATGCTAGATCAACATTGTCAAACAAACAGTTTCACAAGATAAAACTTCTTAATGATGCTGTTTTTGCATCAATTAACTTGTCATGATTACTTAACTTTTATATAAAGTGGCACATCCACCAAATGTAAAAATAAAACATTACATACCAGCACCACAGGTAAGACAAAGATCAGGATCACATTCTCTGACAGCTAAGTAGCAGGGGCATTGTTTGGTGGTACACTGTGCCTTACATCGACATCCTGGGAATCGATTCTGACCTAAAATCAATGTAACAGACAAAAAAAAAATACTGGTTAAAAGAAGATTATCGCAATCTATTTGTAACAATGAGATATTTTCAACAATGCAACTAAATTATTCATAGGGTTTATGTTGTGAAAAATCCACTCAATTCATCATAAACAAGAATGCAGTGGTATTCTAAGACAACTAAATAACTGATTAATTAAGGTAATTAGTAATTTTTGTGTGTGTATGGGTACACTACAAAACAGCCTTGCACAGATTATGATGCCAAAACGTAAAAGAAGCTGGGAAAGAAAGTTTATAAATACAACTTTATTTGTAAATTGTATTTTTTGTGTGTTTGATAGTTACTTACATTCTGGACTACATTGGCAAAATTTTTCACAGAAATTCTGGAGCATGATGCAACTGCACTCAGAGTCACAAGGCTTCCCGGGGTGATCACATGGCTGATAGTTGTACACATGACTTCCAGAGTTATCTGAGGAACAACATAGAGTTGACAATAAATTTAATATCAATACAGTTAAATCTTAATTTTTAAGACAAGATCAAGTTCAACTAATGGATAAATGAGGCATGTCGTGGCAAAATGTTTAAGTTGTCGCACAGGGCTGTATTGAGTAAATGAGCTATAACATATGGAAGTTAAAAAAAAATTTAAAAAAATAAAAAAAATGTTCACTATAGATCAAAGTTTAATGTCTAATTAATCATGTTCCAAAGTCTTAGTTCTGGAAATAGTATCTGATAATGTTGCTATATATGCAAATAGCAGAGCAGAGAAGGCAGGGGCACAACATTCTTTAGTCATAATTTTGGCACTGGTTTGAGAGGCATGCCTGCATATTTTTTTGGTGGTTGAACACATTTTTTCAAATAAGGACTATAATAAACCAGACCCATTGTACACAATTGGCTATGTGCATTATAAATAACCCAGTATATCTTTCCAGACAAGTAGGTGTTATCCTAATGCACTGGTCCAAATAGTTGTGGACAGATACAAATAGTTGGCACCAGTTTACCAGGTAGCTCAGACACAAAGTGTTCATGGAGGAGAATGAGGTTACTATACAAGCTAGTCCATGCATCAAGCGCTTTGTTGTAAAGCTCTATATAATTCTAACTACATTATATTATAACATGTTTACTGTGTAAGTCATGAAGACCATTTATACATGTATAGCATTTATGTATGGTGACAGAGGCTGTAATTTAAAACTAACATGATATGAATTATAAATAACAATAATATTTAATGTTAATATTCTGTAAGGTGTGCAACCACTTAGATGCAAAGGATGGCTAGAACTTCGTCCATTTATCAGTCACAAACAAAATCAAATAGCCATCGACACCCATTTGTGAAAGCAGAGAACAGGCTTGAATTCTGTTAACTAACCCTGCTTGCGATGGGAACTTAACTGGAAACTACAGTTAAAGTAGACAGTATAACATGATGGATTTACGTCTTTCAAATGTCAATATATAATAGAAACAAATAGATGTAATGGGTGCTTTTTGGTAGAACCATAAAAGTTGTAATGTAAACACAGGAATGTTTTTTTAAAGGGAGAGTGAGATGTCATTTAGGAAACATAACAATGTCAAGGGACTACCAATCATTAAAGGCACTTAAGTTGATATTGTAAAAAGTCATACATTTCTTGGTATACACGTTTCTGACAACCTTAAATGGCATGAAAATGTTGATAAGAGTATAAAGAAAGGACGACAGCACCTGTTACTCTTGCACAGGTTTAGGTCATTTGAGATCAGTCCCCTGTAATGTGCAAGCTTTACAGGTCTGTTATTGAGTGTGTCTAGTGTGGTTCAATGGAACTTCGAAGAAGGATAAAGATCAACTGGATAGATTGGTAAATCATGCTTCCTATACGATTGGGTCTCATCAATCATCAATGAAAGTTTGTCCAATCTTCCAAAAAAAACGTCTTATAAAAAAATTACAGACGTCTTCTAAAAAAAATCACAAGCACGCACTAATGATCAATTTTGCCCTGGACATACTGCTTCCTATACGATTGGGTCTCATCAATCATCAACAAAAGTTTGTTCAATGGACGTCTTCTAAAAAAATCCTAAGCACTCACTAATGATCAATTTTGCCCTGGACACACATTCCAACATAATGAGGAATGGGCAAAGTTATACAGCCCTCCCTACAACTAGATCCAGATAATCTATTTATCCTTCTGCCATTAGGGCACTCAATGATAGCTTATATGCCTAATTGCTTTTTAGTCCACATTAGATTATTTTTCACTATGCTTTGCATGAGCCAACTCAATTTCCCTGTATTTCCGATGTTATATAATGCCAAAAAATATTGAATGAATGACTCTCTATACAGTATTCTAGTTGGTGATGTTTGCTGGCTAGGTTGCATTCTAGAGCATTTACTAGGCTGTCAGAGTGGGGGCATGTGGCACAGCGTGTAAGACATTGACGTACAAGTGGGTACCTAGTAGGTGCGAACACAACTGCGCTGATTACTAGCTGCAATATTATGGAATTCTCCCCAGGGAGCTGAGTATGTGTTCCATACCTGTTTGATCCAATGACAGGGACAATAATGTGAAGCATTTAGAGGCTTTAGGCAAGTGCTATATAAGACCAACATATTATTATTATTTTTATACCAGCAGCCCAACATATTTGTTTTAATCCATAAAAGGACTATTCTTTGCACCTACTGACAACTGAATGGTTGTACTTGGAAAGAATCTTCTCCACTGCCATTGATTACTTAAAGCCCCATTCCAGGAAAAATTTCACTAAATAAAGAATTTTTTAGATAAAATGCATATGCATTACTCTAATTATTATAAACCATGGAAAAATACTGGCATAAATTTTAGTTTTATGCAGAAGGATAACAAAAATGGGAAATAGAGACTATTTCTCATAGGAGATTCAGAGGTTGAAATCTCGGTCAGAATCATAATTTTGAAATAATTTCAATGAAATAATTATTATATTTCACAAGGGTAAATACTAGCAATGGAAAATATCTAGTTGGCCGTTTTTATGTCTGATAACAGAACCAAGGCAAAAATAAGCCAAGCAGTGTTGGATATGCTAGTGTTTCTGGTGCCTACTATATTTCTTAGCAGACCCATCGCAAAATCAAACATAACAAATTCATCTGTGCTTATTTTTTGTGTGCAACACAACAAATCAAATTTCAGTCTTGTTTTACATTTTTTTCATGTTTAGGAATGTCTAAATCCAGTTAAACTAGCAATTTCGTATTATATTTATAAACCTTTGTAACATATACATAAATCAGATTTTTCCTAACAACTGAAATGTTGCCGGGAATGGGGCTTTAAGTGTTGGATCGAGATATTTATAAAATAAACTAACACCATAAGAAAGTTCAACTTGTCAAAGATTACCTTTCTTTAGCTGTATCTTCCTGCAATGCATGGACCATAATCTACAGAAAAAATAAAGGCAACAGAATTGGATTTAATTTATAATGATTTAAAATAATAATAATAAATGCCTTAAGGAACTAATAGTGGAGATGGAGTACACTATATAGAGCATACCTCTGCTTTCTCTTCTTTTTCCTTGGAGGAGTCGGTGTGCCTTGAGGTGGAAGGTCAATTATATCACCCTCTTTCAGGGCAAATTCATAAACCTATATTAACAAAAAATTAATGGGTGGTCATAGAATTATGGTAATAAAAATATTTAAAACCATGTCATCAGTCCAATCAAGTAATTTTTCAAGTAAACACATTATGATAGAAGTTTATTTTCTCTCCAAATACACACAGCCGGCCCATATCAATAACACAAGCATAAAACCTGAAAATAGGAAACCCAACTGGAATCTATCCCAAAATTTTCAAACAACCCTCACATGGAAATGTATTAGTTTGCCCTGTAGAATACACTGTAATAAATTTAACAAACTTTAAATGCCTAACCTCTTTACACGTCTTTGTTTGAATTAGAGCAGCCATATCACAGTAGTTGTTCAGGTACACACTTCTGAGAACACGAAACAGTGAACACTCTGCTCCCGTCCAACTTTGTAAAATACTGCTCAAATCGTCATTTTCTATAGAGGGCAGCATATAATACAAGATTATACTCTTTATCAACAAGCCATTTATATGACCACATTACATTAAACTGCACAATATTCATTCCAATCTGGTTTACCAATAAGCAGCTATTGACAATCTTTATCAAAATCACATAACCAGAATATAGAATAACACAAATAAGTAGATATAAAACAAGATAACCTGCAATTATTAACCCGCGCCCTGTTGCACCACACCTATACTGAAAAAATAATGGCATGCAGCTTGGCCTAGCCAAACGAAGCCTAGCATCATGGGCCTTACGTGGCCATTAAATCAGGTGATTTTGAATTTGACTCGTGCCTTAATTTGCCCGCAGTCAATCTGGTCAAGTTGGCTTGGCCTAGCCAAAGCAGGCCAAATGTTCAGCTCTATGTGTCTATGTGTGTTGCAGCCGGAAAATATATAAATAAAATTCTAAAATCTGCATCTTCCGATCAGCACCAATATTGAAGACCGTGTAACATCGTCAATGTGTACAAATTTGAAGTAAATCAGTCCTGTAGTTTTTGAGTTTTGTCCCGAGTTTTTGATGCGCGCTATTTGTATGCCTTTAACCTCTCCTTCGGAGAGAGTAATTATATCCATTATCATAACATAAGTCAGGGACAAACCATATTTCCAATGGTGGTATACAAAAAATAATCTAAATATTTAATGTTTTACCAGTTATTATTAGGTTTTTTTTTTACCTTTAGTGTTCTTTGATGTTGCAGCTTGTTTTACAGGTGTTGATGGACGGTAACATTGTTCAGGTGATAATGCAATTGGGTCTTCAACCTCCTTGAAGAGAAATAACAAAATAATTCCTTGATTTTAATCTAACAATAAGTGGCCTGAATGTCATTCTCTAAGGTACGAGTATCCACTGGCGATCGGTTGGTTGCCATGTCATGAAGAGAAATTCAGATTCATGTTACCCGTAATTACAAAAAGAGAGTATTTTTTGAGGTAGGACTGGATGTATTCGGTATAAACACCAAAGTCTAGAAGATTTATTTCCAGTGGGGTCCTTCTGGTGGGGATTGGCCAGTACACCGGGAGACAATCCCTTACTCTTTTCCGAAGAGTGTACAGCGTTCTTTAATGTAAACATGGGCCATAAATGTAAATGGGACCAATGGCTTAAACGTCTCATCCGAAAGACGATGCACTACTGTAACTTGTATTTCAGTCCTCCAGCTGAAACACAAGGAGGGACAGCGATAGGAATTGAACCACAGACCTAGAGATCTCCACCATTCAGCGCACACGCAGTGGTTACCACCAGATTAGCCGACTGAGTCGTTAGATTTTCTCTTGCAAAAATTATTAAAATTGGAAATCGAGGGTTATTGTCTCAAGCTTGTTTTAGCAATCTGTAACATAGTCGTCAACTTAGCATCAGTCAGAATTAGACAGAACATATGAAGCTCAAGTATCATCAAGCAATCGATAAGAAGTTTTAGACACAGAAACTTGGGAATGGACGCACACACTGTGTTGAGTTTTTCACAAAATTTTGTAAAGCTCTTCAACATAGAGTGTATTGTTTGAAAGCCTCAACAAATGCATTGTACCAAGCTGTGTCCACTTGTAGACCACTTTGGAAAGGCAGTTTTATACTTTGCCAAAACATAAATAATTCATTAAAAAAACATGGAAAGAAAAAGAAACCAGCAGCAAACTCTCTTGAAAAATGCGCTGCCATCGGATGCTTAGCGAATTTTATATAAGAAATTATTCTCAGGATCTTTTACAAAACTTACGTTTTTCATGTAGCAATCAGGTCCACATATTTCACTTTCTCGTTTGACCTCTGCTGGTTTTGGTTTTGTTTGACTTGGAGTGGGATGGTAGGCTGAAACAATAAATGAATAAATTAAAATATGTTTGTAAATGAGCAATTAGTATATCATACATAATATTGACACAAATTTTTGTATTTGTATATTAATATTGCTATTAATATTAGCAGTAATATTATCAAACTTAACATTCATCATGTACCAGATAAAACTTCCCATCATGTTCAGGGTAAAATATTAGTAATGAATCTTCTACAGAAACTTATATTGACCATTATCCCAACTAGTAAGAAAAGTTTTTTAAAACCATATTCATAGACGGTGGCCTTTCCAGTGTATCCTAGAAGGTCGGCTGATATTCAGGGGGCCCTCTTAAATTAATGATAAAAATAATGTGATAATATATCACCAAAGATTTATTACGAGGCTTAATAGAGTAGAGATGTTTTTTAGTCGTGAGAAAAACATCTTGTATTGTCACAGGATTTGAACCCAGGACTCTGGGATTGGAAGGCAAGTATCTTAACCACCAAGCTACATCTCCATTTAATGGTGCAGATGATGGTAATCTGATCTTGGAAGTTCTGGTTTTAGAATATTGTTGTTTTTGTTTTTTCATTTTGATAACAATGAATTGACTACAACCAACACCTCCAGACAGGCAAATGTTTTAGCATGTTGGTAAAGCTAATAATAAACTTTCTGTACCGTAAATGATTGAATAAGTGCTGCAGCACTTATAACATTTTTGGATGCCTGTGTCTTCGTTGTGTTATTTATTTATTTCAACACTTTATACATTGTATTTAAAACCTTGTTCTCAAAGTGTTTCATTACACACAGGGTAATATAATTCTCTTGAATAATTGCCACGGTGCTTATTCGAGAGCAGGGCCTACTAAAAAAAATCAGGGTTGCTGCAGCGCACATTCAAGAGCAGCACTTATTCAAGCATTTATGGTACTCTATAAAAGTACTTGTTGTTTTGGAAATAGCTTAAAAATGTGGATGGTGGGTTGACATGTTGTATTAAATTAATAGTTAAATAAAAACAGTATTAAAATAATGTAACTTTATGCACAAATTGGCTCAATACTGATTATAAGAATTGTTCTTTACATCTCATAATATATTGAATTGGATACTTACGATGCAAGAAACAATCATACTTAAAACATCGCCGACAGAACAACGTATGAAATGAGTGCATGGTCTGTTCTCTAGAAACGGACTTAGCATCTGGACCATCAATGTTTGGTGTACATTCTGGAGGTAGAGAATTTGGGTCTTCTCTCTCCAGTAGTTCCTGATACCTAAAAACAAATAGGTAAGGGATTGTCAGTGGAAGAGTGTAAGGCTAAGGACTTGAGATTATGGAATAACTTCTTACAACAGGCAGAAATGTAGAAATACAGGAAGCGAACAGGTAGGTAGGTAGGTAGGAATGATGACTGTTGATTGCTTCTGTTTTTATATGTGGAATCAACTCTTGAGTTGAAAATGTGCCTGTGTACTTCTCTCACCAAAACAGTAAGAGCATTCATCACTTACTTGGATTTAAGTGTTTCTACACTGCCTTTCTCTGGAAATAAACTGTGAATTCCTTCAAACACCTTATCATCTGGCATCTTCAAAGATTCTTCATTATCAGGTATTCCTATAAAATTTACAAAATATAATGATTCATTATCTATCTGTATTCATAAAGTGTGACACACCTGCAGGTGGTAAGGAGTCTGTTATTACATTAATTTGGATTAATTTTCACAAGATAACAGACAAATTCTACAAAAAGTCAATGTACTTTAACATCATTTATATCAACATTCCTTGATATTATGTGTTGTTTTAAAACTATGTAATTGTATTCTAAAATTTCTCAAAATAATTTAAAATTCCTAGTGTTTGAATGATGTCTTGCAGTTATCACAAGCTGTTTGTAGTTGTTAGCAAGCTTACCTGGTCCAGATGTATTAGGTTCTTTGATTTCCTTTCTTGCAGCTGAAACAGCTTTCACAAGATCTTCAAATATGTCATCTTCAAAAAAGTTTTTTTCTGAAACAGAATATGATTAAACAACATAATAATAATAAATAATGATAAATGCATTCTTATATAACGCATATCACTATGTATCTATGCGCTGCACATTATTACCCCCCGGTCATCGGAATTAATGCCTGTGCAACATACTCCACAACTGCTGCTGCTGAGTCAGCGCATAATTGACACAATGCCTACCAGGTACCCACTTATACACCTGGGTGGAGAGAGACAATGTGGATAAAGTGTCTTGCCTGAGGACACAAGCCAATGGACAGCGTAGCCTTCAAACTCCTGACAACAATGTTAAGACCAAATCACTACCACATGTGCCAACCAGCCAACCATAAAAATAAAATGTTGTTTGGATTGCATGGCTAAAGTAAACATTAATAAATACTTGTGGAACACCATATACAGTTCTGAAAGCACTATTGTTTATAGGAAGAGTGTGAAAATAACAGTTCTCTTCAGAGCTATCTATGTGGTGTACTGCAAGCATATTATTTATACATAAAAATAGTCTTTACTATATTTAGATAAAACTGCAGCTGGCTTGAGTTGTTGCTAACAGTTACACTATATTTGTTAATTGCATATATTGCTCGTCATCTGTCCACTATAGCAGCTTCAGATTGCTCCTATCCCTCTCCCAAAAGTATTCCACATTTTTCTTCCCTGTACAACAAACTGTTGCAACTTTTAAACCAGTTAAGGAAGAGTGTTTGAACATTCCTCAACTGAACATGTTCCATTTAAGTCTTCACTCACTTTTTCTTTCTGATCATATTACATACCTCTTTCTCCATGCACTTTTCCATCATAATTTTTTATAAGTTCCTCGATAAACGCTCCATCCTGCTCCAAGACCTCATCTCCCATATATGGAATGTTATGTAATACTGTTTCATCATCAACCTATGTGGACAAACAGATGCACAGCTACAGAAATAGTCCTTTCAAGTACATTACACATGAATACATTTCCAATATTAACCCAAATATTCATACCAAATTAAATTTGTGACCACGATGCACTTTTATATACTTACCTTAATTTTTATTGTTTTTAATGAATTTTTTGCAGGCCTGCATACTTTGCCACCAGAATATTATTGTGACAGAGTAATGTCTTTCATATAAAAAGATTGTACTGTATAATGAATCAGCTATAACAGACCATTGAAGAATCATTAATATATAGGCATAGGTTTTAGTGGCGAATCCAAGAATTTAAAATAGAGATTTGCAAGTGCCCAGAAAGCCAATTTTTGCAGAGGGAGGGTTAATATTACATCAGCCCCATCATGTTTGGGGCTGAAGTAGGAAATTTTATGTTTGTGGTATTTCTAGGTGGCAGGACGTCTAATGTCATTTCCTTTTTCTCCCAATTTGGGTGGGAGAGGTCAGACCAGCTGTCTCCGATTCTTTGAATTTGCCTATGGGTGTTATATGAAGGAAATGCATCTCTGTTTTAGCTTACATGAACTGTACCTAAAGTGCTGTATATTTCGTTTCATTGCATGCATGCAAAAAATGGATAGTCGGATCTCTTGCCATTCTATACTCTTTGCTTTTAAGTTCTAGCAAAAAATAGCAATAAACAAAAATAATTAATAATAATTAGGCCTATGTCAAAAATCTGTCTGAAGAGCATGATGGGATTGAAGTTCGGACAAGTTGCGTTGGAACTAGCAATCGTGATCATATTCACGAGTAGGTATAAGGTGCATAAATGCCTGAGAAAGGATTTTTAAATTGGAAATATAAAAACAATTTAAGAGATTTACATATTAAACTTTTTCATATTAATTACAAGTTCTGCCATATATAATAAAGCAATATAAATAACTATAATTTCATTATTTTGATATTATCACCCATGAAAGCATGAATTTTAATTATAATCTTAATTCTAATTATAACCTAAGCCTAGATACAGCAGGCTTTTAAATCAATTAAGAGAGGCTTGGTTACACAAATTCTATTCTTAAAATTAATAAAAAAAGACTGTGAATATTATTTACTTGAATCATTAAAAAGTATTGGTATTGTCAGTTTTTATCTTCTACATTTTTTGTATAGTTTTCGCTGCGGTGCCAGACATACTAGCTACTGCAGCTTTGCAATAAGCCTGACACTACAGTAGAGAATTCAGTTGCTATCTTAATGTAGTACTAAAGCTTACCATGAAATTCTGCTGAAGTGGAGCCCATGTATATACCAAAGGCACTGAGCTTAAAGCATTCAATGTGTGTAGAGGTGCTGTCTTGGTTTCAAGTCCATTACCCATCTCAATAGAGCACTAGGGAGAAAATACAACAAAAGTCAAATTAATTATTTAGATACAGGTTTTGGATGTTTGCAAACTGTGAGAACAAGAGGAGAAACCACCCTTTCCCCCCAGTTTTCTCAAATATTTTAAAAATCTGTATCTCATAAACTGTTCACGAGCTCTTAGCTCTTCAAAAAACACCCTTTTGTATCTTAGAAAAATCAGTTGTACAACATATCATCAGAACTTTTTCCCCTCTTGAGCCTATCTTTAAGCAGCTTAGAGCATCTCAATCACAATTCTGTAGGTAAAATCATTCAGTTGTGTTGTTTCAACCTACTCTTCGTGTGACTGGTAGCTGATCAAAAGATGCCGCTGTGTGGATTGACTGGAATGGTTTATCTCGCCATACTGCATTGTGTCTTTCAGTGGCAGCTTCAATCCATCTTCGATTTGAAGCAAAAGCATTCTATAAAGATATAAAAATTACTATCCACTAAAATTAAGGTTTTCTTTAAAAAGATTTTTTATTTACATTAAATGATATAAAAAAAAAAAAATAGAATTCCTCTATTTTAAATTTCACATTATAAAGGCTTCCCTTCAACTCTAAATAAAAATGATTTAAAACAACAATATCAATAACCAAACATGTACTGTAGCAACACAAAATAAAATGGTCAGTCTTTTTACATATCAGCACTGCTACAGTTATCCTATTGTCATATCAACTGATATTCCTGACTTAGCAGGAATGATAAGCCACTTTTAAATTAAAATAAAAAACAGTATTCAAACTTAACATAACAGTTCATTGAAAAACAAAAGCTATGTTTCTTTGGAATGGTTAATACCGGTAATATTATAATAAATCCATGGCAATCACCTTGACCTGTTCAGCACGTTTAATTCGCTTTTGTTGTCTTATTCTCATGTACTCGGACTTGACTATCTTGCGCAAGTCTGTTGATGCTACACTGCATTCCAACTTCTTCTCCTTAAAAGCTGCGGTTTGCCCATCAATTTCACTCGAAGATGGATTTGTTATCATTTTTAACAGAAAACCTATCATAAATCAAAAAGAATTAATTTAATTTTTATCATTATGACATTTGTCCATCCAAGGACTTTTAACTGTTACCAGGATAGGAAGCTGGCTGGTTTAAGCCATCTAACTTGAATTAGCATTATGTGTGGTATTGTTATGCAAATGAGCCAGAGAAGCACAATCTGCACATGCTCAGAAAAAAAAAAACTTTCCTTAGCCACTCTGCGTATCGGCTAGGCGTACAGCAGCTAGGCCTAGCTTATCTTATTTTTGTTTATTACGCACCACTGACTTAGGCTGTTTGTCATCACTTCAAGTTGTCTACCAATTCGTGGAAAAGGCGTATTAAAATCCAAATATTGGCGTTTGTGAGCAATATATTTTAATTTTATATAGGTAAGTAGTAAGTATATGAATAATTTTAATGCACTAGTTAGTTGATAACTTCATTCTAATTTGTTTTGGTCTTTTTTCTGCATTTTTATAAGCGGTTAGAGATGACCTAGGCCGGGTCTAGGCTAGCTTAATCACATCAATTTAAAATCAAATTTGTAGACATACTTGCCTTATATCTTAACTTGCAGGTGATTTTATTGGTAGATTAGTTTGTTTTTAAGTGTGTAAGTATAATTGATTTGCATGCCAAGTGAAATTAGTACCCTTATTTTGCTTTGTTTTACCATACTGTAATTCTCGGCTAGGCCTAGCTGTACGCCTAGCTGATGCGCAGTGTGACCATGGTGTGGCTAAGGAATGTTTTGGTTTTCTGAGCATGTGCAGATTGCACTTCTTTGCCTTATTAGCATAACAATACCCCACATAAGGCTAATTCAAGAAAGATGGCTTAAACCAGCCAGCTTTCTATCCTGGTAGCAGTTAAAAGTCCTTGGTCTATCTGTATATGGAATGCCTTCATTAAAAGTTTTAGATTTTTATTAAACCATACCTCCATGATTAAACTGATTGTCTCTGGATTTACAGCAAATCCCTAAAAATTCACTAAACTACAATTTAACTGGATATGTTTGGTGAGAAGCCAAGTGTCATTGTGACGTTGATATCTAGAAAAACACTGCTTTCTGCAATAAATGACTAACAGGAGTTTGGTACTAAGTCAAAAATAAAATATGGTGGTACAGCATTAATAATTCCAATTGTACCACCTAAGATAAGAAAGTACCAGTAAGGACAAGTTTACCAATTTTTTTATAATTTGAAGACTGACTGACTGTACCATACTCAGTTACAAAATAGCCCACTTTCAAAATTAGAGAATCTACATACAGTAATGAACGGGCACAAGATTCAAAACTGGCCTATTATGTAACTACTGTAAGCTGACCTACCAAGTCTCATGCCTACGGCGTGAGACTCACACCTCAGCGCCTCTTCTCACGTTCACCCGCCCAACAATCATTTTCTCACACCGGCAAAAAAAAAAAACACAAAACAAAACAAAACAAATACAATGTGTCGGGAGGTACTGTAGAGTATCTTGTTAGAAAATCGATGAAGATCGGAAGCGCCATTTTCTTCCTGCTCGTGCACCTATCCTGTGGTATCCAAGGTCAATTGATATAAGCCTATGTTGTGTGTATGGTGTTTATGTTGATTGACCTTAATATGAGCACGCGCAGTTAGAACCGTGACATGGCTTACAGTATTGCGCCCTCTGTAGCAAGTTTTTTGCTGAACTTGCAGAAAGTCTTTCACGGGATTTCATCATCATGGATGCTATAGGTTCGAACGATTCCGACACCTCAGACCGGGAGGAAAGCCCTCTCATCTTCAAAATAAGAAATATTGAAGTAATAAATGTTGAAATATTGATTTAAAACAATGTCATGTATTTTATTTCTTGGAGTTTGTATTACTCATATATTATATATGTATTATATGTATGTATATATATATATGTATATATGTATATGTATATATGTATGTATATATATATATATATATATGTATTATGTATATATATGTCTGACATTTTGCTACCTTCCACACCCCCACCCCCACTTCGTTTCCTCGATTGTTTAAACTTTCTCACTCCCAGCTAATTTACAAACTTGGCATCTCTGTGTAAGTATGCTATTAAATCAGTCCACAAATTATATAAAATTGGTAAAATTGTCCTTTAAATAGAAGCAACAAAACAACAAAAATATACTTTCTTGAAAATCAGTAAAGATATGTAAGAAAATACAAATGTATGCAGAGCCTTTGAAGGACTGCAATTAGACACAGGCCTAATTAATAATTTCTCAAATTCTGGAACTTTATTGATATTGGAGAAAAATGATCTTGGTATCAATGAAATGCTACATCACTGCTCTTTCAAATGGTACTACTAGGCCTAGGCTAGTTGCAAAAGAATTCCTTGCATTTTAAATTGTTTGTCACGTACCTAACCTAGCTTTTCTAGCCTGATGACTATGCTAATTCTAAGTTTCTGAACAAACTAAAACTTCAATGATAGGGCCTACAGTATGCAAACTAAACATAGGCCTACTTAATTTCTTGATTTTAAATACATCACGGCAGAATTTAGAAGAAAGAGGGATGGCATTTCTACCTTATTACATACTACTACTACTATATGCTAGGGCTAGCCTTTGCCTAGCTAGTTAGAGATGAACGAAGTACTATAGGGTCCCTACCCTAGCCAACTAGACTAGGCCTAGACTACACTGACTTAGGCCTAGCCTAGGCCCGGTCGGTAGGCCTCTCCTAGCCCATGCCTAGGCCCTAGGCCTAGGTCTAGTTCTTGACACGACACCGTCATGAGCCTGATCGAGTCTAATATCCTTAATAAATTTGTACCTATAATTTTATATAAAATAAAAGTACGAAGTCGCTATATAATCTTTACCTGAAAATTAAGGCAAATCATATACAAAATTAAACCTTTCCACCATACGAGTTTACAAAAATATCCTTGTTTCACAAAGAACCCCCACACACACAAAAACAAGACCACCAGCACACAGACCCGCCGCGGCCGCGCGTATCGCACATGTCTAAATTAGAGGGCGCCAGTTATTGACACGCCAGTATAGAAGGTGTGAAGACCATATATTTATAGACCTATCCAAGAGAGCATTTTTGAGTGTCGCCCTCTATTGTCGGCGCCATTACTGGGGTGGCATTTGCGAAGTTGGGGGTACCGCGAAGTTTAGAGATGCAATGCGGAGTTTAGTTATAAATGCAGTAGTTGCTGAGAACAACACGGTTTTTTTTCGATAGTAGCAGCTGCATAATGTCGTCAGTCTTCAACTTATATTTTATCACAATCCAAGATAAGTATATTTCGTGTATTTAAGACATAACGATAGGAATTAGGGGCCTCGATAGATCGTATACTGTATATGTTACGTTAGGCCTAGCTAGCCTGTAGGGAACACCGAACTTCCTTAGTCTTCTTTGCATTTAGTTCAAGAAAATTCTTCTTACACCAAACAATAAAAGATTCAACATAGTCATAAAACAAGGATGTGTCGTTTTTGAAATCAAACCAATCAGGCAAGTATCATCAGCAAACTTAATTTGAAAACTGACTTGTGTAAAATTAATAGGTACTTTTGGGACATTTTCTTAGAAGGTTCATGTGAATTTAGGCACCACTTACTTTTAGATAATATTTTTGCTGCATACAAAAGAATATTGAAATTTGTAACATATTTGATAACCATTGTAAAACATATTTAATAAAAGCAATGACTGAAAGAACTGAACTAATGAAAAACATTACCACCAATATTTAATTTTTATGTTATTTACTGTACTTATAAACTTTTATTTTTTTAAATTTTTTTTTGTACATTAAGTTATTCCTTAATTACTACAGAATAATGAGAGTAACATTTGTTTTGTTTGTCCAGTATTTTTTCTTTACTCATTTAGCTTTTCAATAATTCATTTTTATATATTGTCAGTTGTTGTTTTGTAACTGTTGTACGGGTCGAACCTCTCCTGCGCGAGAGTGTTCCTCTGTTATAAAAGAGAGAACCAATAAATCTTATCTTATCTTATCTTACACGTCCACCACTGATACAACCCCGGTATTATATTCTTAAAACGAACTTTAGTCGTAGTTCGAGCTAAAACTTCAAAATTACGTCATTTCGTATTCTTAACGAACTTCAACTAGATAGTATAATACATACTCCAAGTATTGAAATGCACGCCATCGTTTCGGGATTCAATATTTCGACATTAATTATGTCATCATCGGGAACTTTACTAGCACTACGACTGAAAAGAGTCACAACCCGGGAAAAAATCAATCAATCAATCAATCAATCAATCAATCAATCAATCAATCGATCGATCAATCGATTTATAAAGGCGCATAATAGGCTACAGCTGTCTCTATGCGACACACTCAGGACTAAAAACTGTCTCCTTAATAGGTGTGTCCCTTGAATAGGTGTACAGCTATTCGGGGGTAACCAAAAACGTAAAATTTTTGGCATGTTTTAATACGATGACCTAGGCCTACTTTTATAATTATACTTTTTATTGACATAGAATCAGTTACAGTAGAATTAGAACAAATTTATAGCAATAATTTGCAATGCAAATACAGTTCATTTGTAACATGAAATCAGCACAAATGAAAACAAGAATAGGCCTAATTAAAAATGCCATATAGCCAGCTATTGGGGAAGTTGGGACAGTCCCACACATAATTTTCCTAATGGGTCCAAAAAGAATGGGTTCACATTTTTAAAAATGGTCGAAATTATGCAATTTTATGCATAAAATTTAGTTCATTTTTTGAAAAATGAGTCCAGATTTCTCATATTTGAATAAAATGGGTAAAATTTTACATCAATGTGTCCAGATATTTCATATTTTTGCATAAAATGGGTTACCTTTTAAGAAAATGGGTCCACATTATTTGAAGTTACGCGTAAAGTGGGTCCACCCTGATGTCGTCCCGCAATGTTTGAAAATCCTGGCTATGGCATTGATAATTACCAATATTATTTCATGAAAGTTAACGACAAACTATTTTTCCCCCTTAAATATTGAACTTTCTATTGGATGGATGTAGCATGAATAGAGTAACGACTTAAAATTAAGAAGGTTTCATGTTGGTAAGGATTAGAATCCTATATGAAAGTACACGAAAACCAAAGAAAATGAAATCCCCATGGTTAAGGGTTAAAATTACCAAGATTGGTTTATACGTAAATATAAAATTTTCTTATTTTGAGACAGTGTTGTAGTTGTTGGGATACAAATTAGTAATTTAAAAAAAATAATAATAAGTGTCCCCTTAATAGAGATTATGTTATTTAACCATTTGTCAAACTCAGAAAAGTTGATTTTTTAGTTTTTATTTAAATCTTCCGAAATGAACAAAAACCATAAAGTTGGTCGGGGCTGCCTAGGATGGGAAAAAGTATAAAACTGTCATCCGAAGATGTACCCATCCAAAACCTCCACCAACCCAAAATATAGAAACAATTTCAAAGAACAATAAGAAAACAAGCAAAAAAAAAAAGGCCGACCAAAACAATATTTTATAAAATAAAACACAAAAATTAACATCATCAAAATATAAAACATAAGAACATCCAAAGCTCCCCGAAAAACAACACCCATGCATGTATTTGTACAGGCCCGTAGCCAGGGGGGGGGGGTTATGGTTCGGGCGAACCCCCCTTTTCTAGCGAACCCCCCTGTTTTCTAGCGAACCCCCTCGAATTTTTGAATGAGTCCCACTCGAAC